TAATTTCTTGAATTGAAAATTTATCAAATAAAATTTCTCTATCTTCAAAGCAAAGCAGAGCGTCAAATATTTTATAAAATGTTATTTTGAATCCTACTCTATAAGTTTATATATATATTACTATATTGATCATAATAAAACAATTTTGATATGAGTCCAATAGAGAGCTGAAAATTACACAGATACAATCCAAAATTTCCCAATTTTAGACTGATTATAAAAATCATTTAAAACCAGAGGCAGGTCTAACAAAACATTTAAAATAAAAATTTGTCATACCATGCTTAGAAGAAGTCCAAAAAATCATAAAGTTTTTTTGTCATGTCGAGAGAGAAGTATCATATTATAAAGTATTCACGTGAATATATTTTAACCATGTGGGCCATTTTAGAGTCAAAAAGAAACTCACAAGCACAGAGTTGGAACAGTAATGAACCCCGTGACTTGCCCATAAGACACCACAAGATTTGATTTTGATGCAAAAATTGTCTCTTTCCCACTTGACCAATAGCATAATACAGTGGTAGAACTGCTTCATTCTTTGTTAAAAGTTTTAAAATATGAAAAATAAAAAATATATATTGAGACTCGAGAGTGTTACTCCTAAATGAGATTTGATTTGTGTGATTTGAATTTAATTAAAATTTCAATACGAATATCTCGAACATTAATTATGAAAAGAAAAGAAAACAAAACTCATAATCAAAGCAAGTTGTATATATGTATATCAATATGAAATTGACAATCAAACAAACCTCCTACTACCAAGCTACTTGCATTTCATGCCCCACCCAAGATTCTATCTCCCCCCTTGGGGGTTTCCTTCGGTGGCGGACCTATAAAAGGTTATGTGGGTCATAAAAAAACACCGTATATATAGATGTATATTTAATTAGCTTTTAAAATTTTATATGTATATATTAACTTTTGATTCTACTAACACAAGGATGATTCTTGATTGAGTGGTAAAGAGGGTTCAATTTTCCCAGCGACCCTGAGTTTGAATCACTTCTATCATATTTTAATTTTACTTTTTATATTTTATTTAAAAGTAATTCGTGAAAATCTTGGATTCGCCGCTATTTTCCTTTAAATTCCCCTCATCCCTTTTTCCTTTTTATTCCCCTTTGATGTCCTCCCCTATCATACAATTTCAACTCAACAAAATATTTACTTATGATTAAAAAATAAAAATATTTTTTGTACTATCTAAATAAAATTAATTATGATTATATGATTTCATATATATATAATTTATATTATTAGTTAAAAAATATATAAAATTATTTTATTTTAATTGATAAAAATGAGATTAAGAAGAAAGAAAGAAAATATTTTTTATTTTTCGTTAGTTACAATTTTTTTTATAAAAGTAGAGACACAAATAAGAGTTATTTAAAATGATATTTTTATTTGAAAAAAAGTATTTTACAAGAAAGGAATATATTTTCTTAGAAAAATAAAATTTTGTCCAACTACTATTTTTGAATCAAATTATTAATGACTCTGAATCAATTTGGGAATCACAAATTTATAAGTAATTGAGCTAAATGCATGCATAATAGACTTGATTTATTTATTTTTTAATTCTTTTTGAGAATACTCCCTCTAATAATGCATATATATAGAGATAGATAGATATAGATAGATATTGTTTCAACATGTTAGCTTGATGACATTAATAGAAAGTTTAAGGGTATAATAGTATTTTTATAGATTAATTTGCTTAAAATAAATTGTACTTTCTGTTTTAATCTGTAGACCATATGAGCAAGTACTTAAAAGTTCCATCCTTTTCTATTAAATTACGATTGCTACCATTCACTGAAATATCATTAAATATGATTGGGACTCATTGAACTTCAATTGGAGAGTTGTGTCAGTGTTCCCTCAACTTTTTGCCATTTTTGTTTTCCTAATAAAAAATAAAACACTTTGGTCATTTTATTTATGAAATGTTCATTGATGAGTTTGGAATTGGTAATAATTTTTTTTTGAAAAAAATAAAGTATTATTAATTCATATTGAAAATGTATGTATATATTGAATTTTAATAAATGATCTTATATGATTATAATTATTATATATAAAAATAATAATAAAATAATCAAAAAGTAAAATAGAAAGTATAAACGGTAATTCTTTGATCATCTCTACAAATGATGAATAAAGTGAATTAGAGAATGAGTGAAGAAAATATTCTTTATTTTACTCTTCGAATAGAGAATAAAATAAAATTGGATCGGAGATAGATATTCATAATTGATAAATACGATCTTTAAAATCATTTATACTTAAATATAATAATAAATTTTAAACAATTAAAAGAATATCATATAAAATAAATGAAAAAGACGATAGACTCCTTTTTTGACTAGAAATAATTTATTGTGATTAAAAAACATCCTCTTTTACTATATTTATAATTTTAGATAATTGAGATTATTTATTAGAATATCAATAGTATATAAAATTTATAATTATGCATAATTTTATTCTAATATTTTATACATCAATATAATATTGAGCCCGTACTAACATGGATATATATATATATATATATATATATATATATATATATATATATATATAAAGACTTACATTCTTTTTTTATATATATTTTAGAAATTATAATTCATACTGTACCAAACTCCAACTTGGCGGGGGCAAAGAAATAGACATGTAAACATAATAACACCCAATTATAAATAATTTAAAATTAACGGAGTTAAATTGGATTTATTATTAGTGTAATAAATGGTTTCTGGGATGAACATAACCACATTAGTTCGAGTTTTCTAAATATTAAATTAAATTATTTGTGTTTAATTTTTAAATTGATATATCATATTAGATTAATAAAATATGAATTTTTGGATTTTATCGAGTTTTTTTTATTTTTATGACAAACAATTCTTATAAATATATAATTAATGTATGTTTCAAATATTTCTTTAGTATTATTAAAAATAACTATTTAAGATGTTTCATAAAATATCACAAAATTTTGACTTCAATAGATTATTCGGTATATAAATAAATATATATATATATATATATATATATATACACACACACACATATATTAAAATTGTTTGTGTTTAATTTTTAAATTGATAAATTATATTAGATTAATAAAATATGAATTTTTGGATTTTATCGAGTTTTCTGATTTTTATGATAAACAATTCTTACAAACATTTAATTAATGTATGCTTCAAATATTTCTGTAATCTTATTAAAAATAACTATTTAAGATGTTTCATTAAATATCACAAAATTTTGACTTCCATAGATTATTCGGTATATATATAGTCCACCCCATGCTTGCTGGTTGTAGTAAATCCACTTAGACATGTTGATTACAATTAAAATATTTATTTAACAACATCACATTTTAAAAAATATATTTTAAAAAATAATTAAATGATTATTTAAACAACAAACACGAATTAGTAGTTAAATACATGAGGTATGAAAGAAAAGACACAATCGTTTGTAAATAGTTTCTCTTTTTTTAGTTATAAGTGTTCTTTTTCCTATATTTTATCTAATCACTGTTCTTGTATGAAGCGATCACAAGAAGGCAAGGATTTGTTGATACGCTTGCTTCTAGTCGAAGATATTTTTAAAATTTTCTTACTTTTTTAGTTCTTATATGTTTTTTTTACTTCTCTTTCTAATTAATTAGATGTAGGCATATTCTTGAGTTGATTTGAATCGATTATTGATCAAAATCAAATTAATTCAATCAATTTTTTTAATATTAAAATCAAATCAAATTGAATATTATTATACATTTATTGATTTTGTTGCTATTAGTTTCAGTTTAATTTTTTAATTTTAACGATACACAAAAAAATTAAATAAACCATTCAGTCAAAAAGAAGGAAAAAAGTCAACAATTAATTCGAAAAGAATAATATTTAGAACAACTAACATTAAAGAGGTTTAATCGTTAAATTTATTGTTAATAAAACTTGATAATTTATCACTCTATCCTAAACAAGGCAGAAACAATGACATTTCTAGTCCCACCCATATCCATGAAACTAATAAGAGAAATGTTTTTGTTGGTGCTCTTACTTTTAAATTTTGATAAAAAAAAATTTTATACGCTTTTAAAACTATTAAAAAAAAGTATATATATACTCAGATTTAATTTTTTTTAAATAAAATAATATCAAAACAAACAAAATCTAAATAAAATTCATTTATTTAATTTTTTTGTTCAATTCGGATCGGTTTCAAATTATGAACATCACTAATTATATGTTTGAAAATTACATTGTAAATATTATAAATTACATTAATTAACACCTTAAAATATTCTTAAAAAATTAACTTTCTTAATTTTATCAATTTCATATAAATTAAAATATAAAAAGTAACATATATTATTCAAAAGATTTAATTAAAAAACTATAAATTACCACAACTAATAATTAAGAATATTCTAATAAAAAAACATTGAGGTAAAAGTTGTTTTTTATAACCGTCATGAAAATGAATAGAAGTATTAGTTATATGTTATTACTCCCTCTAAGTTAAATTATAAAAAATTTTGATTAATATTTTAAGATATATTTTTTCATTATATTAATATTTTAAAAATTATAGTTTATAGTAATTTTTATATAGTTTCAGAATATCTATTTTTTTTTAAAATATCAAATTAATGTGATCTAGTTTAACTTTAAAAATTAATCAAATTAACTTTTAAAAAACATAAATATGACAGACAATTTTAAACGGAGAGAGTATAATAGAGAAACGTCAGAAGGGCAATTTAGTCCAAATTTAAGCTCGTATAGATGTTTGTCGTGATCATCAATGTCGTGATCAGGAGCTTTCCTGGCATATTACCCCACCCCCTCTTCTTCCTGTAACGTTCCATATTCAACCCCCCCCCAAAACAAACTACCCCCCCCCCCTCTCTATCTGGATTTATACATACTGTAAATGCAGTTGGAGAAATAGAGTATTCGGAATCCATTGTTTGGTTTGTGGAAATGGCGGTGAATTCGAGCCAAGAGGTGAGGTTTGTTGCCTTATTGGAATCAATTGAGTTTTCTTAAATAGTACGCTATGTGCTTTTTTGAATCAATTTGAGCTTTTATTGCAGTTTTTGTTCAGTTCAATAGCTGCATTGTGCTGTTCCTGTTGTTTTTTTGGCTCAGATTTTGGTTATTGTTGGAGTTTTGATGTAATTTTTATCGGTTTGAAATGTGTTATCTCAGTCTATATGCTATGAGTGAATAACTGTTATTTCTGTAGAAATTATGGAGGTATGAGTGAGAACGGTTGTTATATTTGAGTTAATTGTGTTTTTTTGTGGTATTATTAATTTGTTGTAAGGAATTTTGATTTCTCTTTGCAAAAGCCTAAGTTCATTGCCGTCATTGAATCTACTGTTTGTGCAGTGAGTTAAATGCTTATATCTGTCATTTCTGTACAACTTATGAAGATAAGTGTTTTTGGAAGTTGTACAAATAGTAATGTGACAGTTCGATCTAATTGAGATGTTTTATTTTAGGCTTTTCTTTTTATTTTGTGTAGATTAAGCTGTATATCGATGTGTTCATTGTTTCCTGATATGGATACGATATTTTTTCTGTTGTAATTTCGCTGTAATTTATTTGATTCAATTTGTTTAGACTGGTTCACTTCAATGTGTTTTATGAATCTTAACTTCTATGTGTACCTAGTGCCAAAATGTTCTTCATGGTCATTGTGGTTGCAAATTTTATTTGTTTCTAGTTATTGAGATACAATTGGAGATATTACAGCTTATAAATGGAGTAAGTGTTGGTGTTTAACTCATATATGTTGTACCATTGTATTTTAGAGTAGATGTTCTTTTAAAGGAACCTTTATTTCCAGTCAGAAAGTGATACTGTGTTGCTTTTACTTCTCTTGTTTCATTAGCAAAGTGATGGTCAAAAGTTGAGGCCAGTTACTATTCTCTAGACTACATTGAACATCAAAAACACTTTGGATTCTATATGAGATTATTCAGCTCTAGGTGTGGATGTTCTTCTTGCACCAATTGAGTTTTGAAAAAGTTCAAATTCTTGGTCACTGTCTCTTAGATATTCTTAATTTTATATTCTATCACTATTTAATGCAAACTGGCGATTAAGCTTAAATGCAAGTCCTACGTTCTGATGCTTTTGTCATTGCTGAACCAATTATTTGATTGGCAAATACTTTGATGTGGTGTGGAAGATTTTATTTGTTTTGTATCTTGTGCCTTATAAGAGAGTGTTCTTGGAGTTTGGATTTTCATTCTAAAAGATGAACAAGGATAGCAGCAGACTTATGAATCATAGATGAGTGTTTCTTAACAAGAACAATCTACTTAGCAATTCCCCATATTATCGGTGTTGGATGTGAGGTCAGTAAAAATATTATAGAGTTGATTTAAGGTCATAATTAAGGGCCTTTCGGTGATGGTTCAGTTCTTAAGATCTAGGTTTTGTTTGGACTCTCCAAAAATGTTGTCACACCTGTGTCAGATCCGACACACACTCGATGACATGTTTGAAGAGGTCTGTACAACATAGCTTAAGATAACATCCAAATTTTGCATGACAATTGAAAATGTACCTTAGTTTTGCTTTCAGGAGTTCATATGATGACCTGGTTATCCATATCATTTAGAAGTATGATGTTTGCTATCACGTTTTCTCTTTACGACTTAATGCAGCTTAAACCTTTTAATACGAACATATCATGTTTAAAGTCCCTTGTCCAAACAACAAGAAGTACATGTTATATCATTTGATCAAGAAAAACGTAAAGCAGAATGCATCTTCTACTTTTTGTAGGACATTGCTACTATATATTATGTGCTACTATTATCTTCCTTTAGGCAATAGGTAATATTTCTTATGCTTCACCTATCTTTTTATGCGCACTTCCCTAATCATCAAAATTTTTCTAGTTAGCATTTTTTAACCCAATCTCTCTCATTTTTTTTTCTAATTATGACTAATTTGTTTGTTAGTTCATCATCATGTGCGCTTCTCTTTTTATTTGATCATCTCTTCAAATTCTTTTATTTAGGATTTTGAAGTAACTTTTACGATTTCTATTTCAGCAAAGCCAAGATTCCCTGAATTTTGTTAAATTACCTGACGAAGGAACCAAAGGTCCTCTTTGTGAATCACATTTGGATATGTTGAACCTGAAGACTCAAATTTCAATGGATGCCCTATCAAATGGTGGAAACCATGCCAACCTGAAAAATGATAGCTTAGATGCTTATGGCTCATATTGTTTGGCCATAGATATTGACAAAAGAAAGTTTGACGCACCTAAATCCACTGAGGAAATGAATGGGAATGTTAAGATGGATGACTATGTATCTGTAAGTGCCTCTTATGAATTTAATGATTTTAACATCATCATGTGGAGGATGTTAATTCTAGAGGGTTCTTATGGTGCTTTTTCTTATTTGGTACGAGTTTGTTCTCTAATTAAGATTTGTTAATGTAAAGCTGAACATCAACAAATTAATTGCATTTCAGAGTATGTTTCAGAGAGAAATTTCATCACTGATGGGAGGAAAGTTCATGCAACAGATGATGAATAACAGCTTTGAGTTGCCCAAATTTGCATGTAAAGGTAGATTCTTTTCTGCAATCAATCACTCTGTTATGCATTTTCCAAATATGAATTTTGTTATAGATGATACCTGTTATTTTTCCTCTGCAGTTTTGCTTATTATGTTTTGAAATACATTTTATCGAATTTACTTGAGTCAATTGGATGCTTCTAATGAGCTTGAATTCTTCCAGAGTATTTTCCTATATTTTCACTCATAAAGATATATAAATGACTTATGTTTCAAAAATATTCAAAACTGGATTTCTTCAGGGAAGGATGACAGATCTGGTTGGTCTTTGGTGAAATAACCAAGACATGTAACAGTCTTCGATGCTCATGATGCTAGTTAAGAAAGTAGAAGAATTCTCTAAGAATCAATGCATTCTCGGTAAATAACTTTACGACATACTTGTGGATAATTCCTGTGATAGGTTCTTTTTTTTTAATATAATACCACGAGTGGCGACATGAAGTAGATAATGACTTGTAACTATGTTTGGTTACAGTGTCAATGATATTCTGCTCTTGTGATGTCAAAGCTGAAACTTGTTACACTAACTTACTCCCAAATCTGTAGTCAAACACCTAATTTTTTCCCTGTCCAGTGTTATCAACTTGGTTGCAAAAGGGTTGTTAGTGCATACTTTGAAATCCACTTGTTATAGTTCTTCTTCTTGCAGTTGTATTGGGGAAACCCTGTAAAACCTTGTTATTTAACTAAATTACAATCTCAACATCTCAAAAGTTAAATATAATTGGCTTATCACGTGCATGAAGTGCTCCCCAGACCCCATGTCTGTTCTTATTTCCTGAAGATTTCTCTACTGATGAAAACGTTTGATGTTGTTCCTAGATCAACTTGTCATTTCTAGGAAATTAATCAAAATATATGTTTTACCATGGTATATTATCAGGTCTACTTACTCTGATCAAAAAGAAAATTATAAAATATACTTAGATACTTAAGTTGGCCTTTGCGAGTTGCAACTGCTCTGATTAGACAGCATCAGTAGATATCACTGGTCATCCTGTCTTCTATTACAGTTGAGTAGTTGATAGTTTCCGTGTAATAAAAGAGCAAGTAAAGGTTCAATGACTTTTCATTTTTCAGTTAGCTGAAAAAGGTGGTTCCTACCAGGACCGGATTTGAGCTTAAGTTGTACAATTAGATGAAAAGTTCACAAATGTTTCTTGTTTTGAATGGCAGATAAATTTTTGACCGAGAAGGTATATGATACACCTAGCAACAGATTGAGAAAATACAAGCGCTCTGCATCTTTCAATTCAAGAAGAGTTGTTCTCCTTTTCTCAGTCATGTAAGTTTAATTCCTGAATCCGTTCTTTTCATGTTATGCTTCTTTCCTTTTTGGTGCTAAAAGCATTGCATTCATTACATTCATTACCAATACTATATTCATTTCTCATAATCTGTCAAGTTGATGTAGTTTGTGTATCAGCAGGCTCGGCTCAACAAGAGTGTGAGGCCTAAGCCAAATTTCACAAAGAAGCCCTAAAAAAAATTAGCTTTTAAATTTTAATGTCAAATCATATTTTCTAGTTGACATTTAAATTGAATAAATTCTTATAATAACTAAAACAAGAATATATATCTAAAAGTACTTAGTTGATTTATTAATCTAAATCTGACCTGTTGGGTCTATTTGGCCCCCAAAAAAGAGTATATATTTATGAAGGAAAAATATCAGCAATGACAATTTTAGTGAAAAAATATAATATAAAATTAGAACAATAAAACTTGACTTTTAAGTTGATAAAATGATATAGAATTAATGTTGTGTTGCTATGATATAATGATTGGCTGTTGCAATGCTTGAACTTTTTGCAGAATGCAAAAGGTTTGGTTTGACTGTATAATATTGGAAAAAGGGTCAAAAATACCCTTGAACTATCAAAAATAGCTCATATATACCCTTGAAGTATATTTCGGCTCAAATATATCCTTACCGTCTAACTATAGGGTCAAAAGTACCTTTTTCATTAACATAATCGGTTAAACGCCACTTAGATGCCATGTGGATGTCACATGGCATGCCACATAAGCCAATAGTGTTTCACTCATGCCACGTAGACTAATAAACTTACCCCTAATTTCCCCAATTTTCTCCATTTTTCGTAGAATTTAGAAATGATTTCACTGAAGAACATAAAACTCTTTTCCTCATTTCTCCATTTCCTTGGAACGATTTCACAAAATACGTAAGTTCTAAGGGAAAGGGTTATCTATGTTCTTCAGTGAAATCGTTTCTAAGTTCTAAGGGAAATAGAGAAAATTGAGGGAAATTAGGGGTAAGTTTATTTTCTACGTGGCATGAGTGGAATTCTATCGGCTTATGTGGCATGCCATGTGGTATCCACATCGCATCCAAGTGGCGTGTAACATATCCTGTTAATGAGAAGGGTATTTTTGACCCTATAATTTGAGGGGAAGGGTATATTTGAGCCGAAATATAGTTCAAGGGTATACTTGAGCTATTTCGAATAGTTCAAGGATATTTATTACCCTTCTTCGTGTAATATTTAATGATAAGAGAATAAGCATAGTGGAAGGAAAAATGAAAAAAGTAAATATAGGGAAAATGTGGTCCATGATGTTGTTATTGGATATGAATGAGGTAACAAAAAAAGTACCTACATAAAAAAAACTACCATTACTTAAAAGTTATTTAATTTCCCAAGCAACTATCCCCACATTAAAGTAAAACAATATTTTACTTTCTACCCAAAAATTTCTCTTCAAATCCAACAATACATGGGATTTTCTTCAAAGATAAAATATATAGAACACATCCTTAGGAAAAAGTGCATCCCCGAAAAAGTTGGGGCCCCGAGCCATTGCTTTAGTGGCTCTATAGTAGAGCCGGTTCTGTGGAATTTAGATGATGAGAATGAGCTGTCATGTGCAAACATCTGCATGAAGGAATATGGAACAAGTATTGCACAACCAACCATAATAATTGAGGGTAGAAATGTTTCACCAAGCTAATCGTTTTGAAAGCTATGAATTCGTACTGCTTGTTATCCCTTGATTTTGAATATTGTAGGTTATAACTACCTGAAAATGGTAGACTGTAACACGGTTTCTGAATGAACAAATGTAACTTTCAAGTTCTATGCTCTCTTTTATCGAATACACGTGCTAGCACCCATGTCCTTTTTTCTCTGTGTCATTGTCTGAGTTCTTGGCTGTCTGTGTTTGAGATGGATATTTATTATTAGAGCTGCAAGTAACACAGACAGGATAGGAATAATAAGGTTAAAAGGATGTTGTTTATTACAAAGATATGTAGGGTTGGGATTTGGCAGGGCGAGATGTTAGTTGGTCATTAGATCTTTGAGTTACGGTGTTTGTACAACTTAATGACCGGGTGGGTGGGGAGATGGTGAGGGGGAAGATTTAATTGCATGGAATTCATTGTCAAAGCCTACTGATCAGAGTTGAATGCAGATGTTAAGATGTCAGTCTACTATACAAAGTGTTCTCTTTCATTTGTCTTGATACTCACTAAGTTGTTGGTAGGCTAATAATGATTCTACTCGGAAAAAAGCTGAGAAAATGCATCAATTAATCTTTTGCTCCATATATTACTTCTGGGTTTTAGTTATCGCTTCTATACAGCTCTAGCAATCGACTATAAGTCTCTTCCTTCCTTTTTCAGGTCGTGCATGGGGACGATCGTTCTCATTTATCTTACTCTAAGAGTTAGAATGAGTGGTGATTGGGCTGCTAATGTTTAGAATCTACTTCTCGTCCATCGTTTGTGAAATGAGTTCTCTTTCTTGCTTGTATTTTATCTTAATGTTTCATGAGTAGGAATCGTTCTTCATCTGTACATAAAGATAGCAGTTAGTATACAAGTTGGTTTCTAATTTAAGTTTCTTTTTTTTTTTACTTTTTCTAATTTAATTTAAGCTGATCAAGTGAATTATTCTATCTTCATGATACATTGTCATTGATGAAAAATCAAAACCAACGTAGCCTACACAACATAATGAAACAATATCATGTTATGTGAAGTTGAAAGGATATCCTTCATTTTAAACTAAAACGAAATGTTTCTTTAGCAATATAATATATTTTTTCTATTACTTTCGCTCAATATAATCTGTAATTGTACACCATCAACGCTCTCTTGTCCCTTTCTTGACAATACATAGTTTAAATGTGGACATGATTTACTATGGTTATGGTGACAAATTGCGCCTTATTGTAAGAAAAATTGTAACTAACCTCCACCTTTTTATATGAACCAGTTGTGTCAAATGAAAGTAGTATTTTGTAGAAATTATATTAAAAAAATTGATTCGTATATTTTTTGACCAGGATGGTTCATAGATCATTGTCAATTTCAAGTAATATGGTAAAATAGGCTTATAGAATATCACTATTCCTACATCTACTTATTGATAATTTTGTAACATAACAAATTAATTAAGAGTGATAACAGATATGGCGACTAGTAAAAGATGCAAGTATTCCTGCCATATTGTGGAAACACCCAATGTCCATATATTATGACAGAATTTTTTCTGAAAGTTATGATTGACAGGCAAGCACTCATCAGTAAAAGTAGAGAGCAAACAAGAACTACAAATTCAAGCTTTCAATCAAGCAAGAAGACCTTAAGAAATTACTGCAAGGGGAACAGAGCTCAATAACTGGTAAAGTATAAAAGGAATTATTCATATATTTATTATAGCCCACAGTTGAAGATTTCTGTGTTGAATTACTTGCTGGAAGTTCCACTCGTCTTGTGATTCATTGCCACAAAACGAGTAGGATTTCCAATTTGTCTTACTGGAAGTTCAAAAATCAGTAGGATTTCCAACTTGTTTGGTGATTCAGTGCCACACAGACACAACCAACTGTGTACCTGGAAGGAGGTTTCCAGGTCTAGCCTGATTACCAAACCTTTGGAAGATAATAAATTGAAAAAGAACCTAAATATAGACAATTAACAGACCTACTCCCAGAAGATTATGGGCACCACCAAACAACTCCTTCAGAGTAACCCAAATAATGGCATTGGCTAATAAATGGCTTTGTCAATGGCTCTGAGAGAGGAGTAATGACTCCATGCTTATGTCAACCAAGCACTTGAGACGCTGTTGACAATTAAGTAGCTTTGGTAAACAAAATGGATCTACCAAGTACTAACAACACAGAAGACTTAAAAGCAAGGGAAATTCAATACCTGCTGTTTTTCTACACGCAGCACCGTCGTTTCAATCATTCTTAAACAAAGCCAGCAATCAAATGGGGCTAGGCCTGCATTTAGAAGGAAGTGTACATTCTTTGCCAAGTCGATTTTCATAAGTTATGTATTCCCTCCGTTTCAATTTGCTTGCCTTGTTTTGACTCAACACGGTGTAAAAGAAAATAAAGAAGAATTTTGCATCTTGTGGTCTTAAATTAACGATATATAGAATATAACAAATGTTCTTTTAATCATGCATGCCATGTTGAAAGAAAGAGGCATTCTTTTTTAAATGGACTAAAACGGAAAGTAAGACGAACAAATTGAAACGGAAGGAATACATAATTTGAATTGAATATACGAACAAGTGGGTAAGCTAATCTTATACTTCACAGTCGTCTGAAGGGACAGGTATATTCTGAAAATTTACAAAAACGCAGCAGAGAAGACAAGTTGAAAAGCTTAAACATTCAAAAATCAGCGACCGATATTACCTACCAATAACTAGGATGGATGCACACGAAGATTAAGTAATTTAATTCGGCCTTCTAACATATCAGAAAAAATTCTACTGTCATTTAACTTGAAAATTTGACAACAAAATTACTATTCCTAATGCCACGGCTCTATAAGGAGATAATGCAATTCTATAGATGTAAATTTATTGAAATCAGTAACTTTGTATCATATCAAAACACTACTTGGATATAGTACTGAAACCATATTTACAATAGAGCTCTAGTGTCTTTCCTCTCTAGCTATGAAGAATCTAGAACATTTATGGTACACACAATATCATAAGAGTAAATTAAGTGTAGCTTGAAATAAAAAGATGATATGGAATGACGATTTAATGTATTACTATATTACTATACGGGAAAAATTATGAATTTGTATACTAAAAAGACTTTAAAATGGTATCTTATAGTATATAATATTCAATTATTCTAATTATCGGTTCCATTTTCTTTTCGATTTTAGTTTGAATTGTTCAAATGAGCGACTAAATTAGGTTAAGTTTCTATCTCATTTATTAGTACATACGTCTACCTTGTTGGTTCTGATTTTTCTAAGTTTTTGATCAAAATGAGCTATTTTAAAAATCAATTTACCTAATTAATATATTTTAATTTTTTTTTACAAAAATAGTATAAACGTACTTTATGCTAACATTTTAGGATATTTTCATTATAAAAATTCAACGGACAAAAAGTTAACGGGTTGACGACGTTAAACGCATAAACGTAACTATGAGTAACGTTTTAGGTGTAAAACATTACTCAAGAGTACGTTTTTGGAGAATCCAATCACGGGCCACTGACTCCAATCCTGCAAAGGCGGAGTCAAATCATTCAACTGTAAAACGTTACTATGAGTAACGTTTTACACCTAAAATGTTACTTTGACTCCCGTTTCTTAAGAATCCAATCACGGGCCTTCGACTTCTGCAAATTTAGAATATATTTAGCTATAAAACGTTACTCACAGTGACGTTTTACCTTAAAAACGTTGCTTTCAATTACAACACTCTGTTAAAGTCATATTCCTCCATTTTTCAAACTGACCAAAGTGATTATAAATAAATGTTGTTATAATATTTTGCATGTTCAAATATAATTCAGCAAAAATTTTCCTTGTGTGGTCCATTTTAAAAATAATATTCACAAAATTTTATCAGGTAGGATACATTTAAATGTATGTCATATATATGTTAATCCAATTAATATTTTTATATAACATTATAAATCATATAAATAAAATCAAAGATTTTCATAATACCAATTGCATGTAAATTGAACTGTTGAAAGTATATATATAGGTACGCGTTTCATAATACCAATTGCATGTAAATCAAAGATTGGCAACAAATATGAAATTTTGTTCAGCTGCAGATCTCTTGAGATTCTGAAAGAGGTGATTATCAAATATTTCGAATTATTTGAGTATTAGTAATCTGAGAAAAATTCACATTACATTAGATAATTTTCCTTTATTAGCAATCTGGAAAAATTCACATTACATTAGATAACATAAAGAAAATTAACACCATTAGACATTGACCCACAATTATTCACTTAAATTTAATTACGATTGGAACATTGACGCCTATCATGTCCTGGCTGCCTGCATAATCCACAAGCTCACTCATACACTGTAGAACTACGATCCATTTCATTATGTATTCTAGTTGTCCTTGGCCGATTAGGACGACGATAGAATTCATTACTTCTCATTGTAAAACTTGGAGATGGCCAATATGACTCATGACCAATTGGTGAGAATGACCCAGAATATGTTGCAACATAATTCTCTATTGTGAAATGCTCGCTAACAAAATTTCTAGCTAGCCCTCCCATTCTATCAGTTACCTTCATGACATGTGAACACGGGAAGTGCAGATTAACCCATTTTCCACAATCACATTTTCTTTCATTTAGTGAAACACAATGAGGATTACCACCAGTACCATCAACTTGTATAGATCTAACCTTGTATACTCCTGTGGGTATTATTCCAATAAAAAACAAAGTGCCTCTTTGAACTTTCATAATTCTTCTCCCACTTTATTTTGAACCTGGCGTGACCGCTAGAAAGACCCTCAGTCTCACATTTATGGTTTTCAACATATTTTTTTATCTTCCAAAATTTATCTCCAACTTGTCGTCCTCGAAGAAACCACATGCAACCCAATAAATTATAAAACTTACATCTCACAACCCATAGACTTTTGGTAGATGTTACCACCTTGAACTCCTTATTTTTGTGCAAACTCCAAATTGTTACAGCCATTTTCAACTTTTCTTTACTACTAAAAATCATACCTTTTTTTTAATTTTTTTTTGCTTGCCCAGACCAAACTGAACAACATTCCATCTCAGATTCACATCTAGACATGAAAATGTCTTCCTCATTCTCTAATGTCCTGAAATAGGGTATGTCATGGGACACACCCTGATCATGATTATGAAGATTTATACCATTTTGAGAAAAATCTCTAATATCATCGATATCTTCATCAGGTTCACTTTCATCACCATCTTTCGGAGGTTCATCTTCTTCCGAACTTTCATCACTAATTTCAGCATTTACATCATTATATAGATCAACGTTGATATCAATATCTCTGTAAAAAAATATAGTCAAATACTAGAAAAATTATAAATATACAAGCTTGTTTTAAAAGCAATAATAAATATTCTAAAATATTATTTCTTCTATTTAAAAGAGATAATTTGTGTATACTGACAATAAAAATTATCTTATTAAATTGTTAGACTAAAATTTAATAAAATAAAGATTTGTTGTTTACCTAGCCTCATATTCCATGTGACTATTATCAATATGCATTTGAGTACTTGAGCCATCACCAAATGATCGATGATCATGCATCAACAATTGTTGAAATGGTGGTTGAACAATCGGTTCTACAAAATGAGGTTGATTGATCGTGGTAAGACCATAATTTTGAGCCAACAAATTCATGTGATAACCATGATGACCACTAACTTGAAATGCAACATTTTGATCTGTCGATATAGTCTTTACATACATCTCCAAAACATTTATATCAATCTTATCCGCAAATTTTTGAGGTATGAAAAGAAATTGTAACAAAGATTGGTCATTCTCAATTTTAAACTCAATGAACCTTGTATTGTTACCTTGAATTGAACATGGATATTTTCCAGAAATATCCATATGAATATTTTCACTATATGTTCCCATTTTCTCATGCAACAATCCAACCAATTCAACATAGGTAGTTGAAGTCGACATGCTAATAATCGTTCTAGCACATTCAGTATACCTAAATCCGTTCTTATCCGTAATTATTTCTCCACTCCAATACAAAGCAACCATCACATTATGTTCAAAACTCGTCATCTTAATCCTACACATAAAGATAAAATATTTTTTAAAACAACATTATTAAATTAGAAAGATAATTTTAAAGCTATAATAAGAACATAACAAAGGATAAACTTCACTTATTTAAATCATACCTGATGAAATTTTGTGAATGTTATTTTTAAAATGGACCACACAAGAAATTTTTTTTGCTGAATTATATTTGAACATGCAAAATATTACAACAACATTTATTTATAATCACTTTGGTCAGTTTGAAAAATGGAGGAATATGACTTTAACAGAATTTTGTAATTGAAAAACAACGTTTTTAAGGTAAAACATCACTGTGAGTAACGTTTTATAGCTAAATATATTCTAAATTTGCAGAAGTCGAAGGCCCGCGATTGGATTCTTAAGAAACGGGAGTCAAAGTTACATTTTAGGTGTAAAACATTACTATGAGTAACGTTTTACAGTTAAATGATTTGACTCCGCCTTTGCAGGATTGGAGTTAATGGACCGTGATTGGATTCTCCAAAACATACTCTTGAGTAATGTTTTACACCTAAATTACGTTTATGCGTTTAATATCGTCAACCCGTTAACTTTTTGTCCGTTGAATTTTTAAAATAAAAATATCCTAAAACGTTACCATGAAGTACGTTTATACTAGTTTTGTAAAAAAAATTAAAAATATATTATTTTGGTGAATTGGTTTTTAAAATAGCTCATTTTGGTCAAAAACTCAATTTTTCCTGCTACCTCCTACATTTGTTCTTTTTCCTTTTGATGATAGTTTTGTATTCTGTTTTAAACTTAATTTTTCTGAATCAACTTTTTTTTTTATATTCATTTAAAGGTTTTTGAATATTAAGTCCTTAAAAGGATAAATTTATGGCTCCGCATCTCAAAAGATATTAAAAGAGTAAATGTAGAAAATGTTTTTAAATTTTTTTTTAAGTTTTGACTTTAGGCCATTAATTATAGAGAGCCACCTCTCCTATAATAGAAGGATTAGTTAGGTAGGATTTAGCTATCCTTATATAAGTTATTTCATCTTTTACTTCCATAAAAAACACATGCATTCCCTTATAACTTATACATATGTTACTTATATGTGGGAATATAAACAAGTAACCACAAACCGTCCTTATTGTGCTGAATTTTATAACTAGAAAATAAAATGCTACTTAACGTAGTACTTATTATGATAGTTCTAATATATGAATAATTTGCTTCATAACCACCAACCAAACGACTCCTTGGTTTATGGTTTTCTAATGGCACAACATCAACTCAATGAATGACCATTTTGGTGAGTTATGATTGACAACAAGAATATGTGGGCTCTGGAGAACCCTTTTACCTTTATTCACCAATCACATATTATACCTACGAAAAGAGAGGTAGCAAGATGTTGTAACAATTGCAAATATTAATGTTCATTTTTTATGACAACTGCAAATATTAATGTTTTGTAGTAGTATCTTGATAAATTTCCAATAGGAAAAATTAATTTATTCTACCTTTTCCTCCCCCTTTATATTCATTGCATGAAGAATTCCTTGTAAGGGATGTGGTATAACTAATTTGTGAAGCACATACTTATAATTTTTTATTTCGTAAAACAACAAAAACTACGAGTAAATCTCAAACTAATTTGCATAAAGCTTCATTTATGCCCGTTCCATTATCCCTGCCTTGAACAATGCCCGTTGGCGCTACAAGTTACTACTAGAAGCCACCTTTCTTGAAGTTAGAACATAGACCTTATAATTGTAAAAAGGAACAGGAATTTTGATCTGCCAGATACTTTCAATAACCCAAAAGAGTTCTTTGAGCTTTAACAGTAACATGGTCATATTGTCTCACAATAACTAACACAATACGATAGGCTAAAGTTAGGTAATAGTTGGGCAACAGTAACAATTTACCCTTGAACATAGAGCAATTAAAATACAACATGTTTTAGCGATGAGCAGCATAACTAACTTAAGCTAGATGTGTAGCTGCAAATTATGCTACATTCTTGAACAACAAGAATAACTTGACCCATACGGTTGTACTTCTGAGCAAGATCCTCAAAAAATTTATGAAACATCAACAGATGTAACTGGATTTGATGGATCAATGGATGCCTGTCAAGAAAATGTGGACGATAAATAAATGGCCAAAACTTATATCTAGAATAAATGGGACATACCAATTAAAGAGTAATAATAAGGGATGAGGGGTAAAGAGGATTTCGTTCATCTAATATTCGTTTAAATACCAATTAAAAAAAATTAGTTCAATAATGAGAAGTTCGGTTCTATTTTTACATCTCGTTCACCCAATAAACTGTTTAATAGTTGTATCACCATTCACCACGAGCGATAACAAAACTCAGTTTGCAAGTGGAACAACCTTCCTCATGTCTATTCTAGAGTAGTTCGAGAACTTCAAGGTTTCAGACTCAATGGCTTTACTCAAATTACAGATCAGAAACTCCATTATACAACTTCTAATGTTCATGAAAGTTAGACATGCAAAAAAATTGATAAAGTAAGAAGCTTCCGTTGACAAAAGGTAACAAGATGGTGTGGGTGCCCTATTACAAAAGCATAAGAGCTTGACAGCTTTTGGAGCAAAAACAAAAGCTAGTGAGTTTTTGGAGTAGAAACTTAGTTACATAACACAAAAACTCCAGGAAGTTGTCAATGGCAATGCTATTGACAGGGGAGAGAAAGTCCAACTTAACAAAAAACCTAAACATCTAGCTTTTGGATTATGAATAGGAGTTAAAAAAACCATAAAAATTACACATGCAAACAGCCAAAATCTTTACATAGTTAATCATATCACTATACAAGTATGAATATCATCTCTTCAACCAAAGGTTAGTTGACAATAATAGAGCGGATTTTTCATCAATACAACATTTATTGTAGGCAATTAACATAAAAAGACCAAACAATTTCGTCTCAGGTCAGTCCAGACAATAGTAAACAATCTAATTCTTACATTTATTAGATTCTCCATCAATATATTCATCATCATCTCTTCCTAATTTAACGCCATCATATAAATGTTGATATTCCTAATACGCTTCCAAGTATCCAATGAGACAACACAAAGTTCATGATTATTTTCGAAAAAAGAAAATTTATTTACATATCTATTGAAGATGTTCATTTTATTAATTAGTAGAAGCTTCCTCAAAAAATCACTATGGCAAATTACATTTTCTTTGATAAATCCTTTTGCCGTCTGAAAAAGAGCAACGGTGCTCCAAAGAAAGAGTGTAAGGATAAAATGTTCAAGAACACACCATTGGCGCTGCTAAAGAGTCCAGGTGCGAGTATTCAGTAACATATCCAGAAAGCACCATGGACTCTGCCAAAAGATTGAGATTCAAGATCTAGTTAGACTCTAGCTGAATTGGTTAAGAAAGGAAGACATGGAAGTGCTTACCAGGCGAAAGCTGATGTAACACCGGTCACTCGGAATGAGGGCCGGGTAATTTGAAAGGATGAATCCAGGAAGAGGATACATCAAAATTAACTACCTCAAATATTACTTTGTTGGTTCTATTTTTTCAGGCCATAGAGGCTTACAATTATATGAGTACAAGCAAAGATGACAGATTGTTCAAGCATCTCAAACATATATTTTTCTTCTGTGTGAAACTCATTTTAACATCTCGAAGAAACAACTTCAAAACATAGTTTATTGAAGCAGAGTAATAGAAGAATCTTACAACCTCTTTTGTTTCTATAGTTCAGCTAGAAGATAATTACATCAAATATCATTTAGTATATCAAATCACAATGGTGATTGCTCCTCAATAATCGATCGTGAAAATTTTCCAGTAAGATAATGGAGAATAAAGACAATACTTATGTAGTGCATATTTCAACACAACAAACCTTGAAGCCCAGGTAGCCTAACCACTAAAAAGAGTAGCTTTGTCCAATTCAATGAAAACAACAAAGATACATCACTGAGTCTGAAGGTAAATGACATGTTCTAAATACTCTTTAAAAGAATCCAGTTCACTTTGGAGGTAAAACAAGAACATATAGAATAATAAAAAGGGTAAATACAGAAAAATGACTCACTCAGCACAGAGTTGGTGTGACCCAAATTGGAGGACAAACACGACTGAGGGAAACACCATCATAATGTGGCTGGAAACTGCTATCTGCTAAGTTGAACATCCCCATGTCCAAGCCGCCGCCTCTTTTAGAGTGGAGGTATGCACCTAAACAATTATCTGTAAAATAAATATGATTGGGCTTGATTCCTGGAAATTGAGAGGCTTGGACCGAAAAGGAAGCATTAGCACCCAAGAAAAAAGCTCTGTCCCCTAAATCCGTGATTGGCGTATATATGTGAGCATCTAAATCAATCTTGAAAACAAAAAAAAAAATTGTTCCGGACATGCACCGTATAACCTCATCATGATCATATATAGCTGGGATGAGCGTCAAACGAATTCTTTCGCTATCATCTTCGACATACCTCAAACCAACACCACTTTGCGTGACTGCAAATAATGATCCTAGTGATTCTAGGATGTAATACTTACAATCAATACATCGTGCAATCTGCATTATTATACGAATACTAGGAGGATCAGGGCCCGTGAAATCACAAACTTGGATGCAACCACCATAAGTGATCGCATAAAAGCTACCATTAAAATATATCACATCACTAAAATATCCAAAGCGGATGGACTTGGTAATCATGGTCCATAACAAATCTCCTGGTCTCCAAAAACTCAGGCGCTCGGTTTTTCCCTCAATGACCATAAGAACATAGTCAGGTGTATGAGAAGGATTAGCTGAGAGAACAGCTTTCTTGATAAAGATCCATGGAAAGCGAGTGCGATTGAATTCATAAAGTGTTGTGGTATTTTGATGGGGCAGCTGGATTTGTACACCCGAAAAAGGATGTAACAGACTGATTTCACCGTCTTCTTTTCCTACAGTGATGAGCCATCCCATGGATTCCATACATCCTTTCCCATGGGCTTCCGGAATTCTCTTTTTAAAAATCATGTCATTATAGAAACTATAGAATTTCCTACAGGTATTATCATCTTCGTCACCATCATCCTCCTCGGCTAGCATAAGCCATGGAGCCCTAGGCAAATCACTGATAAACCTGTGCTCCTTGGCCACCGAATGCCAGGATTTACAGACACTACTGAAATTCAGATAGTCCTCAATCATATCCATACGACTAAGAATTACACCCAGAATATCACTTTGAAGTTTCGACCAATCAGGCATCTTTGAAGCCCTAGCTAGCGAAATGATTTGATAATAATATTGAGAAAATGTCAGGAAAATACCTAATTTTTGTCCTCGCTAACGCTGACAAGATGAAGAAGCACGCTGTGGTTTCTTATTCAGTAGTTATTTTGTACGGCGATAAGACAGGCAGAACTCTCCAAGTACGATGGTGAGACAGGCGGAGCTCTCCAGGAAAACTAGTGGTGTTTCTTTGGATATAAGAATAATGCAATTGACAGATTTTCTCATTTACTTGTTGGATTTTCTTTTATTTAGGGGAAAATGACGAATATACCCTTCGGTCGTTTGAGGGACCGATTTGGTGTGATGCACACACAAGAGATCTTAATCTGGAATAATTAGCCATTAAAATAAACTTAATTAGGTTTTATAACTATAGTTTATAGTAACTATGGTTATGAAACCTAATTAAGCGAGACTGAGAGAGGAAAGAAAAAGGCGTGCAGAACGATAAAGTATTTTCCCTATGAGTTGAGCTTTTTTATTATAGCACTAGTAAAATTTCTCGTGCTTTGCGCAAGATTAAATATCACAAAATTTATGAAGTATTACTTAAAGTATATCCGGCATTATCACTAAAACACTATATTATCTTACATGCAAGATTACATAATAACAAACATTAATAATGTGAAGGAAAATAAAAATTATTATTTCTTACCATTTATCCTTAATAACATAAGCATAAATTAATGATTGTTAAAAGACATTACAGGATTTGTAACATAAGCAATGGTTTTAGTGAGTCATTCAACATGAGCAAAGTACACAAATATTTAATTGTGAATGAGGAGGAGGAGGAGAAGGAGAAGAAGGAGAAAAATACTAAGAGGTATGGAATTTTTGTAGTTTTATAATGAGAGAAAATTCCTCTATTTATAGACAACAAAGGGTAGTGTAAAAAAATGGTTATTGTGCTTCATCAGAAAGATTTCAACTATTTGGAAAAGTTGCAACCCTTTGGAAAGCTCACAACCTTTCATAAAAGTTGCAACTCTTCATCAAAGTAGCAACTTTTCATAAAAGACACAATTTTTCATATAATAGTCGCAACTCTCCATTAAAGTCGCAACTTTTCATAAGAGTCACAACTTTTCATAAAGTCACAACTTTTCATCAAAGTCACAACTCTTCATTAAAGTCACAACTTTTCACGAAAAGGGAAAACTAGTTTTGGTAATAAAATAAATTAAAAGGAAATCCTAATTTCTAGTGGCGCCACGTAGACGGGCTTAAGGTTTTCTTTTATATATATACTAGGTAATTTTTCCGCGCTTCGCGCAGTCATAATTAATAATTGCATTGAACTTGTAAATAACTTTTGCTAATATACATACATTAAAAATAATAAGAAAATAGATTCTTAACAAATATTAGTAATATTCCAATATGAATTTGATTGTTTTTCACTATCACATAACTCAAAAACCTCTAATGAATGAATTATTCAAGAATTTAATCAACATCAAAGGAAAATGAAAATATATATACACAGACATTTCGAAATAAAAAGAAATATTTCAGTTGCATAGATTATACAATAGTGATATATGTCTTATGAGAAAATTCAAAAACTTATTATCATATTTAAATAAGAAATTACGCTTGAACATGAAAGAACTTATGCTTGAACATAAAAGGAGTTGTAACTTTTGTACTTACATAATGAACTTGATAAATGAAAAATTTCATATCTATGTAAAAATAGATTATATGCAAGTTTATATATAGTACTTTTAAGTTATAAAATTTAATATAGAATATCAAAACACGAATTCTTGGAACTGAGTATAATAATTATTTTCTGCACAATGAATATACTTACTATATGTGTATATGTCCAATATAGCCGGAGACAATAACTTTACATAAACATAAACAACATAGTTTTAAGGGAAAAGGGTCTGATATATCCCTCAACTTTGTCATTTAGAGCTGATATACCCCTTGTTACAAAAGTGGCTCATATATACCCCTATTTGTAAACAAATGGCTCACATATACTCTTTTCCTTTAACGAAAATGAAAAAAAATATTATTTTAATCTAAATTTTTATTTTATTTTTCTAAAAAGTATAATCCCATATGAGTAAATTTAATCCTTGTCAAACATAATTTTTTTGACTTTTTTTTGTTTCAATGACTAATTTATAATTATTATTTTGATAATCAAATTTATTTATGTTTCACTAATATTCTTGTAAAACATATTGTAGATGACCAAATTTTTTCTTCGAATACGAAATTAAATTACAATACACAAAAAAATAGTTTAATTTTTTTCCTTTAAACTAAGGAATGAAAGAATAAAATAAAATAAGAATAAGAAATTCAAATAATTATAATAAAATAAGTCAAAAAATAATTTATGTATGAAAAAAATTAAAATATACCTTGAACTTTGATAGAAGAATCATATATACCCCTAAATAATTTTTTAAAAAAAATTAGAAGTAATAGATATAAATTTAAAACTAACTTTTAAACTTCCGTTGAATGAAGGGTATATGTGAGCCATTTTGTAACGGCAGGGGTATATGTGAGCCGTTTGTATTACGGTAAGGGCATATGTGAGCCACTTTTATAACGAGGGGTATATCAGCTCCAAATGACAAAGTTGAGGGGTATATCAGACCCTTTTCCCTAGTTTTAAACATGTCCTAAGAACAATAATTATCATCATGAGCATAAGTTAATGTGTAAAAAACCATGATAAGAAAACTATTCCCCTCCATTACCAGATGTTTATAGAACATCACTTGAGAATGGAACAATTTTATTCACCAACTTATTGATACAAAAATAGTGGTGTCAGATGTCACTCAACAGGAGCAAAGTACACGAATATTTAATTTTGCGGATGTAGAAGAAGAAGAACATAATTTTTTTGTTTTAAAATGATACGAAATCCCTTTATTTATAGACAACAAAGGATAGTGCGAACAAATGTTTATTATGCCTTGTCAGAAAGGATACAACTATTTGGAAAAGTTGCAACCCATCGAAAAGTTTGCAACCTTTCATAAAGTCGCAACTTTTTTGTAAAAGTAGCAAATTTTGATGAAATGAAAGTCGCAACTCTTCATTAAAGTCACAACTTTTCACAAAAGTCATATATTTTCATTAAAAATGAAGACAAGTTTTAAAAATAAATAAACTTAAAAGAAAATTCTTGCTTGTAGTGGCGTCACGTAGGCGGGCCTAGCGTTATCTTTTATATAAATATATGATATGATTGTTATGTAGAATTTTTATCACAAATAGGCTACAAAACATCACTACATATGAAAATCTCTAAAAATAGTCTATTTTAGTTATCGTGCTTACTAATAATAATTAGTTCAAAAAAGTATTAACTTGAGACCACATAATAAATAACTAAAAATATATCATCATCAAATGATAATATGCCAACGCGCTACTATATCATTATAATTTATAATGATGACAACTGTATACCTTGCCATTCCATTACACCTTTATTTATGTATTTTACGGAACATTACTTCATAATATCAAAAACAGAGTTAAAATTCTTACTAGAATTATCAAACTCACATAACAACTTGTCAAAGATGCAAGTATCTGTTATACAAGACAACTAAACTTTATGTTGTAGACAAAGTCCCTCTTTAACGATATGATATTCTTCATCTTCTGCTAACCTTAACAATCTGATATTCTTGGCAGCTATCTTTGCAAAACCTCGAGTATATTATCCTTGTTTAGATGTGTGACAGGTGACGATCCATGCTCTATGCTGCTGGCCCAGTTCTAAGCGCACTGTCTAGGTCATGTACAAATCACTAACATCTTCTATCCCGAAAGGAATTAGAAGCACATCCACAGTAAAAACCTCTAGCCTCACGTACTGCAACAAGTATAACCACATTGGACATAAAACAAGGCAGGCTTACGAGTAACTTGACACACTTCCTGCAAATTTCAGGACCAGAAATGAGATTGATGACATTCGATCTTTAATATTGGATACAGTATACTCACCAAAAACTGACTGTAACACTGAAGTATTTGATGACCTCAACAACATGCTTAGAAAGTGCCAATGACCCTTTGGCCTGTAACACCAACGGGGAATGTCCAACGCCAAAGGGAAATCATAGTATTAATGGTAAACCAAGAATACTAAAGTTAGGACTAAAATCATGAGAATAGTGCAAAAATTCTGGCAAGATGACCGGGAAAACCAGCATGGTAATCTTCTGCACTCGAGAATGGGATGATAAAATTCAGCTATCTTTTGCGCATTTTCCTGCCATATTGAGGAAACACACTATGTCCATATATTATGCAACTTTGACAGAAATTTTTTCTGAATGTTATGATTGTCAGGCAAGCACTCACCAATTAAAGTGAAGAGGAAACAAGAACTCTGAGTTCAAGCTTTCAATCAAGCAACACGAAAAAAGATAGCGACAGAATTCTAAAATAGGGAGCAGATATTTTGTAAAAAGACATCATATACATGGACCTTAAGAAATTACTGCGAGAGGAATGGAGCTCAATAACTAGTAAAGTATAGAAGAAAGCCATATATTTATAAAGGTACTTGATTGTCTTTGCCAACAGTTGAAGATTTCTGAGTCTCAGTTGAATGAATTACTTGCTGGAAGTACCACATTGCACATTCAAACTCGTCTTGTGATTCATCGTCACAAAACGAGTAGGATTTCCAACTCGTCTTATTGGAAGTTCCAAGACGATTACGATTTCCAACTCGTTTTGTGATTCAGCGCCACACAGACACAACCAACTGCGTACCTGGAAGGAGGTTTCCAGGTCCAGCCTGATTACCAAACCTTTAGAAGATAATAAATTCAAAGAACCTAAATGAAGACAATTAACAGACCTATTGGAAGAAGATTATGGGCACCACCAAACAACTCCTTCAGAGTAATGCAAATCATGGCATTGGCTAATGGAAGAATGGCTTTGTCAATTGCTCTGTGAGAGGAGTAATGACTCCATGCTTATGTCAACCAGGCTCTTGAGAGCTAGACGCTGTTCACGGTGCCAAAAAGAAATTGACAATCAAGTCACTCTCACAGCTTCGGTAAACAAAATGGATCTAGCACGTAATAACAACATAGAAAACTTAAAAGCAAGGAAAATTTAATACCTATTGTTTTTCTACATGCAGCACCATCATTTTAATGCTTCTTAAACAAAGCCAGCAATCAAATGGGGGTAGGACTGCACCTTCTGCATTTTGAAGGAAGTACACTGTTGAATGCCTTGAATCGGACCCGCTACAAACAGAAAGGATGGGGGTCTCGCTGACCGGTCAGCGAGTCGGGGGGTCCAGGGGGGCGACGCGCCCCCTGGCCTGGGGTCCGGGGGGCGGAGACGCCCCCGGCCCGACGGTATACAATGTTGTTGTATTGGGCCCTTAATTTTCTGTTGATTCTGTATGTTGGGCCCAAGCCTGTTAGGGCGTAGCTTAGCACTATATATATAGACACTATGGGAAACCCTATTCTGTAATTCTGTTTTTGCCTCTCCATAATAAAACTGCTCCCTCTCTTCCCGTGGACGTAGCCAATTTATTGGTGAACCACGTAAATCTGTTGTCTTGTTTTTCGCGTTTATATTTTCTCGTATTATCTCAAATTCCGCACAACATACACATTCTTTGCCAAGTTGATTTTCATAAGTTACATACTCCCTCCCTTTCAATTTGTTTGCCTTGTTTTGACTTGGCACAGAGTTAAAAGAAAATAAAGAAGACTTCTGCATCTTGTGGTCTTAAATTAACGATACGTAAAATATAGCAAAATGTTCTTTCATCTTGCGGCCTAAATCATGTCATGTTGAAAGTTGAAATTAAAGAATCAACAAAAAAGAAAGAGGCGTTCTTTTTCAAATGGACTAAAAAGGAAAGTAAGACAAACAAATTGAAACGGAAGGAGTACATAGTTTGTCACCTTTATAAAAAGATATATATGTTTTAGAATAATAGCATGTACTCTTATCTGTTTCCAAGTAAAATAAGAATTTTGCACTCCAAGCCACTATTGTTTAGATAGTTCCATTAAGGTAAATTAATAATTTCCCAAGAGACCAATTGTAAGTAATTGAGACTTTGGGTAATTGAATCTGCTAGACGAGACGAGAGGGAGTTGCTCGGATGGTAAGCACCCCTCACTTCCAACCTAAAGGTTGCGAGTTCGAGTTACCAAGAGGAGCAAAAGGGGTGGTAGCTTCTAGGGAGGGTTAAAAAAATCTGCTTGACTAGCAATTTAATAAGAGGTTTTTCTTTCCTTTTTTCCGTTCAATCAGGGTGATCTGATAGTTTTGTCCATGAAAGACCCTCAAGGGCACGAAGGATGAAGAGAAAACATATGATAAGCGTAAATCAAACCTTGAAACCATATAAAGAAGAAAAACCTTTCTCCTATGATGACAATACGCCCCCATCAGATCACTATGGCTAAACATAGACTTAGCTGCTGAATGCATCACAATATCTGAAAAATAACGGACCATTTAAGGTAACCAGCACCTTAAGAATGTTACCGCACGAAGGTTCATGTTATCAGAACAAGAAGTATACATGCCTGCTCCAAGGTCAAGGATGGGATGGTACAGGGGACATAATACTGTTATCTACCAGTACAAGAGCCCATGTGAGTGATCCATCTCAGTTATTTTCTGAAAACGATTATAGGGAAACAACATAAAAAAGGTAAGTAATTATCCATTGAAATTGAACAGACTTCAACATCCGCAGCCATGAAAATGGATAAACAATATTCTCATAATCCACGACAAATGACATGTGCTGCCAAATGAACAATAGCCAGAAGCCTCCCACTTATTACATAATCTTGTCGGTTTACTCCAACATGATTATTACTAAATCCACCAAAGAATGACAGTGTGTACACATTAGAAGGGAACGAAAAGGCAAATTTTCATTAGAATTATAAAGCAGTGTCATTTTCTGAGGAAGTAGTAAAGTATAACAACCCTCACTCTGCTAAATTAATCAAACGCACTGAGGCGATGGATGCTAAATATTCCATCTCAACCCCATAACATACAAATACAGTTTGGTACTTGTATTATAAGAATCATTAAAAAAATTGAACATAATCTAAAGCAAACCACAAGATGCACAAAACAGTTAATAGAAATTGAAAATCAACAAAAAACTAAAACAGAAAAATAATGAAAAGGGAGAAAAACCAAACCAAACCAAACCTGATCTCGAGTATGTAAGCCCGCGACTATTGAAACTGATGAGAGGCAAGGTTGAGAGCTAAGACAGAAAGAGAGCCATCAACAATAAAGACAAATCAAAACTGAGGGAGAAGAGATGGAGAGAGAGTGAGGGAGAGATGATTCGGATTGCCTGGTGACGACAGCCAGCGACGGAGACAGCATAGCCAAATGATTGGATATTCATCAGCTTGAGAACTCCTCTTTTTAATTTCATAAGGGAAGAGTCTTCCTCTCCTCCAAAAACCTCATAGAATATCTGGGAGTAAGACTTTTAGGACAACTTGTTGATCGAAGGTGTCATGCTGTTCCCACCATTTAAGCTTCCATTCGCTTTCTTCGCCAATGCCCACGAGTCATCCACTACATCAAACAAGCTCACCTTCCTTTTCTGCAACGTTACCGTCCAGAATATCTAAAATCCATCACAAATCCAAAATCATCAGTGAAACAATTGCAGATACACTGAAATCACCCTTTCAGTCAAGCTTCTTTGCACAATACTTTCACAGATTATGGGACTTGAGCCTTGCTGGAAGGGTGATTTCAACCCTACTGATTGGGTTAAACAGACTAACAAAGTGATTTTAGAAGTGTCATTTTTAATAAACCCTAATCATCCATGGGAAGAACGGCGAAACTCCTCATTACCAAGGACCTCTGTGACCTACTCTTCTTTCATGTATGCTAATAAGAAACCTTACATACTTTTCGTTTGTATAATCATCACGACACAGCAGCAACCATGGCTGAACTCCCTTAATACTAGAAATAGTTGGTAATACTGACCTCCATGAAGTATAAACACATGTGACTCGGACTTTATTAGTAAAGTAACAAGACAATGAGCTATCAACCTCACTAATTCCTGCGGAAGCTCAGACCAACCAGCCAATCACAATCTGATACATCAATGTGAGATATAATATTAGAGCAAAACGATAATCATACAACTTACAAAGTATCACACATACTTAGTATAACAACCAAAAGAGATGATTAATAAGCAGTAAGCAAACATGTTGTTTGTTACAATTCGGACAACAATCATAATGAGTACATATATATCTATCTACATGTTGTTTCAAAGCATAAAATCTGCAATCTGAACTGAGGAATTTAGAGGTTAGCTCATCCTCGCGGGATCGCGACTAAATAGCTTCAGAGAAGGAGTTCTCTAAAAAAATATTGTTACCTGTACTACAGATCATACGAGTAAAATCTGTATTAAGAGTATATTCTTCAAACATCTACGACAGGCATACATCTTAACAACAATTTACAGAGGACTAATTAAACAATATAAAACTTATTTACAACTTTCATACGATTCATACCAATTTAATAAAGCTACGACAATTTATTGATAGACACGAAGATTTAAGTAAATTAATTCAACGATCCAACATATCAGAAAAAGTTCTACTGTCATTTAACTACAAACTTGAAAATTTGATCAAAAAATTGCTACTCCTAATGTCATGACTATATAAGGAGATAATGAACTTCTATGGATAATTGTAACTTTGTGATAGATAAAGTAATTTTTCAGTGGTTCTATTAAAACTAAATGAATTAGTTAGTTAATATGGTTGTTAGTGGAGTTGGTGAGCTGTCACTGAGTGGTCCCAATTGAGTTAGTTAGAAACTATTTAGTTGACAGCTGTATATATAGTAGAGTGGTGTGCATTGTATGAGCAGTTTTTCAGAAAACAATAATAAAAGAAAATACTCTTCTTCCTTCATACTCTTCCTTCAAAAGATGATCTGTATGCATCTGGGCAGTATAATTTCTGCCATAGGAAACTCAATTGAGCTAATTTCTACATGGTATCAGAGCAACGATCGTTGTTTTTGCTGTGAATTTTTTGATTTGTTTGAAGAATTGCCATGACAGTTTCTGAAGAAACTGGATCTGCAGAAGGATCTGCAGAATCACGTGTTGTTGTGGTAGACCATCACCATCCGTTGTTTCTTCAAGCTTCGGATACACCAGGAGCAGTTATAATCCCAATCAAACTTACAGGACCAGAAAATTACACACTATGGAGTCGATCGATGCAACTTGCTCTTCGAGGAAAAGGCAAGCTTGGTTTTATCGATGGAACATGTACAAAGCATCAATACAGAGGAGAATTAGCTGAATTGTGGGAGAAGTGCAATGCGATTGTGCTGTCATGGATTGGTTGTACAGTAGCAGCTGAGTTAATGCCAACTATCCTATATGCATCACATGCTAAACAAGTTTGGATTGAGTTCAAAGAGCGTTTTAATCGATTGAATCTGACGAGAATTTACCATCTCTGGACTGAAATTGCAACCTTAAGGCAAGGTATGGATCCTGTAACTACTTATTATTCAAAATTGAAGGATGCATGGCATGAATTAGACATCATGGCACCATTACCACATTGTGATTGCGGGGAATCACGACTTTATCTGGAGCAGTTAAGATCTCAACGATTGCTACAATTTCTTATGGGATTGAATGAAAGTTATAGTCAAATTCGAAGTAGCATTCTAGCTAGGAATCCAATTGTTACAGTAAATGAGGCCTATGCAATTGTATCACAAGAAGAGAGTCAAAGAACTTTAGGTGTTGTTGATGACAAGAAGGAGGTACTAACACTGCTAGCAGGTAAGTCACAATCTTACAGGCCTAAGAAGGAATTGGATACTTCCAATAATTCTCAGAGATTTGATTTGTTTTGTGAGTACTGTGGGTATAGGAATCATAAAAAGGATAATTGTTATCGATTGGTTGGTTATCCTCCTGGTTTTCAGAGTAAAAGGAGGGAAAATTACAATGATGGATCAGTTCAGTTTAGACCTAATGGTGGTAATCAAGGTGATGGATTCAATTCGTTTGGAAACAATCAGAATCGTGGCAGTGGATATAGGCCTCAAAGTCAGATGCAACATAATTCAGGTGGTTATAGATCTCCTAGACCTGCTGGTAGGGGAGATTCATCAGGGACTAGACCAAAAGCTAATACTTCGCACAAGGCAGAAGCAAAAACATCCTCATCTCAGGGACATTTCTTTAGTGACCAGCAATATGATGAAATACGACAAATGCTAGGGAAAGGAGGAACACCTGAATACTCATTAAATCTAGCAGGTATCACTGTTTTACTATCTACTGCATTAGAACATGAGTGGATAATTGATACAGGTGCTACACATCACATTACTCCATTTAAGGAGCTTCTTACCTCTCTTAAAACTGTACAAGATGATTGCAAGGTTCAAGTTCCAACAGGTGATAAGTCCAGAATCAGTAGTGAAGGAGAGACACAAGTTATGGGTGATAAAGCTATACACAATGTGCTACATGTTCCTGAGTTTCAATTCAATTTGCTCTCAGTTTCCAAGTTAACCAGAGAATTGTCTTGTGCTGTTATTTTTCTCCCTGATTTTTGCATCTTTCAGGCACTCTCCAATGGCAAGGTCATGGGGATTGGTAAAGAAAGAGAAGGTTTATACATACTGAAGGATTGTCTACCAAGCACATTTAATATGTCAGCCAACATTTCAGCTAAAATCACTAGAAGTGAAGAAGATACTCTATGGCATTATAGACTAGGACATCCCTCTGGTGGAGTTATGCAACATATTAAAGCACTTCCACACAAGATACACCCTCAAGTTCATGATCAGTGTGATATCTGTCCATTAGCTAAACATCATAGACTTAAATTTCCTGAACATTCTACCAAGGTTACAGCCTCTTTTGATTTAGTTCATTTAGATGTGTGGGGACCCTATAAGAAACCTACATATGACATGAAGCATTCATTTGTTACTTTGGTAGATGATTATAGCAGATATACTTGGGTTTGTTTGATTCAATCCAAAAGTGAAGTGTTTCATGTATTAAAATTTTTTCTGTCATTAATACAGAATCAATTTGGTGTGTCTATTAAAATGTTTAGGTCTGATAATGGTAGAGAGTTTGTTAATTCTCAATGTGATGATTTGTTCAAGTCAAAAGGAATCATTCATCAGACCAGTTGTGCCTACACTCCTCAGCAGAATGGGACAGTGGAAAGGAAACACAAACATATTTTGGAAGTGGCTAGGGCGCTGAAGTTTCAGAGTGGTATACCCATCAGATTCTGGGGGGAATGTGTGAGAACTGCTGTATATCTTATAAACAAACTTCCCTCATTGGTGTTGAATGGCAAATCACCATATGAAATGTTGTTTAAGAAGCAACCAAAGATTGATCATCTAAGAGTATTTGGGTGTCTTTGCTTTGCTAGTATGCTCCCTAGAGGTGACAAATTTCAAGAGAGAGCTAGAAAAGCAGTCATGATAGGTTTTTGTGAGAATCAAAAGGGTTACAGGCTGTATGAATATAAAACTGGAGTTATGTTTGTTAGTAGAGATGTGACATTCAAGGAAACAATATTTCCTTTTAAAGATGAATTACATTGTGACACTGAAGATATGTTCACTGTTCTCCCTCTTGGCACTTCTAATGAGATAGTTACTGAAAATGATTATGCTCAACATAGGATCCAAGTTCCTGATACAGCTACAGAAGAGCCTGCAATTATAGTTTCGGGGTATATGGAATTTGCAGATGAAAATGACAATGAAGATTACTCAGAATTACCTGTAGAAAATAATGAAGCTGTTCATGAAGCTGGATATAATGAACAACAGATTGATCCATCTTTCAACATTTCAGGAAGACCTGCTAGAAATGTAAAACCTCCTATTTGGCTCAAGGACTATGTTACCCCTTCCAAACCTGCAACAAATTGTACATACCCTATTGCCAACTATATTGGATACTCACACTTGTCTAACAAGTATCAGGCCTATTTGAGTTCTTTTTCAGCTATTCAGGAACCAAGAACATTTGCAGAAGCAACTCAACATCCAGAACGGATAGATGCAATGCAACAAGAGATTAATGCTCTGGAAGATAATCAAACATGGGAACTAGTGTCTTTGCCTACTGGTAAGCAGCCTATAGGGTCCAAATGGGTATATAAAGTTAAGCTCAAGGCTAATGGAGAAATTGACAAGTACAAAGCTAGGTTAGTAGCTAAAGGATATACTAAAAAAGAAGGCTTGGACTACCATGAAACCTTCTCCCCTGTGGCAAAGATGGGGACAGTAAGAACAGTCATCAGTGTAGCAGCTTCAAAAGATTGGAGTCTTTTTTATATGGATGTGAGCAATGCATTCTTACAAGGAGACCTTTATGAGGAAGTGTATATGTCTTTGCCACAAGGATTTCATAGTAAGGGGGAGAATAAAGTGTGTAAACTGTTGAAATCACTATATGGACTCAAGCAAGCCTCAAGACAGTGGAATATTAAACTAACCACTGCCTTGATTGATGCAGGTTATAAGCAGAGCTCCCATGATCATTCCTTGTTCACTAAACATTGTGGTGATGATATTGTGGTGTTGCTGATTTATGTGGATGATATACTACTTACAGGGAGCAGTCACAGACTTATAGATGATGCAAAGCAGTACTTGCACAGTCAGTTCAAGGTAAAGGACCTAGGGGAGTTGAAGTATTTCGTAGGGATTGAAATTTTGAGATCTCAACATGGGATTTTGATGAATCAAAGGAAATATGCACTGGAGCTTATATCAGATGTAGGGCTAGCAGGATCTAAACCTGTACACACACCACTAGAGCCTAATGTTAAACTTACATCAGTGGAGCATGATAACTGTACAGGAGCCAAGGATGATCCATTGTTTGAAGACATGAGCAGATATCAAAAGCTTATTGGGAAATTGATTTACTTAACAATCACTAGGCCAGATATTTGTTTCGCTGTTCAATTGCTTAGTCAATTCATGCAGCATCCTAAGCAATCACATTGGATGGCTGCATTGAGGGTGGTAAGATATGTAAAGGAGTCACCAGGATTAGGAATATTTCTAAAGAAAGGTCCTATAGATGACTTGGTAGTACATTGTGATTCAGATTGGGCTGCTTGTCCCAATACAAGAAGATCAGTCACAGGTTTTGTCTTGCAATTGGGAACTTCATTGATTTCTTGGAAGTCTAAGAAGAAACAAACAGTAAGTCGCAGTTCAGCCGAAGCAGAATATTGCAGTATGGCTGCTGCAGTTGCTGAAGTTATTTGGATAGTTGGACTGCTGAAGGACTTGTGTGTGGAAGTATCAACTCATGTACAACTCTATTGTGATAGCAAAGCAGCTATGCAGATTGCTGCAAATTCGATATTTCATGAACGTACAAAACACATCGAGATTGATTGTCATTTTGTTTGGGAAAAGCTGAAGGAAGGACTTATACATCCAGTGCATGTGTCAACCAAGTTCCAGCTTGCAGACTTATTAACAAAAGGATTGGGAGTAGCTCAACATAGTTTCTTATTATCCAAGCTGGGAGTTCTTGATATATTTCACCCTCTAGCTTGAGGGGGAGTATTAAAACTAAATGAATTAGTTAGTTAATATGGTTGTTAGTGGAGTTGGTGAGCTGTCACTGAGTGGTCCCAATTGAGTTAGTTAGAAACTAATTAGTTGACAGCTGTATATATAGTAGAGTGGTGTGCATTGTATGAGCAGTTTTTCAGAAAACAATAATAAAAGAAAATACTCTTCTTCCTTCATACTCTTCCTTCAAAAGATGATCTGTATGCATCTGGGCAGTATAATTTCTGCCATAGGAAACTGAATTGAGCTAATTTCTATAGGTTCTATCAAAACTTCTATTGAAAAATTACAATTAATTGTAGCTTGAAATATTTAAAATAAAAAGGTGATGATATTATATCACTATACGCGAAAAATTATAAATTTGTATATTTAGAAGACTCTAAAATGGTATCTAATTCTATATCATACACAATTATTCTAATATAAAGGTTTCAATTTTTTTAGATTTTTAATTTGAGATGTTCAAATGAGCTACTAAATTAGGTTAAGTTTCTATTTCTCATTAATTAGTACATATGTCTACCTTGTTGGTTCTGATTTTTCCTGCTTCTCGTACATTTGTTCTTTTTTCTTTTCTATGATAGTTTTATATTCTGTTTTACACTTATTTTTTCTGAATCAACTATTTTTATATATTCATTTAAAGGTTATTGAATGAATAAATCCTCGAAAGGATAATTTAAAGCTCCGCATCTAAAAAAAGGTTAAAAGAGTAAATATAGAAAAATAAAATCATAATTTTATTTAAAATATTCATGACATTTTATTAAGTTTTTATCTTTAGGCCATTTCTTGTAGGGAACCACTTCTCCTATAATACAAGGATTAGTTAGGTGGGATATAGTTATCGTTATAAAAGCTATTTCATCTTTTTCTCTGCATAAATAACACATACATTTCCTCATAACTTATACATATATTAGTAATGCGGGACTGTAATCAGGTAACCAAACACCGTACTTTTTTTGATGAATTTTATACCGAGGAATTAAAATGCTACTTAACATAGTACTTATTATGATAGTTTTAATATATGAATAATTCACTTCACAACCACCAACCAAACGACTCCTTAGTTTGTGGTTTTCTAATGGCACAACATCAACTCAATGAATGACCATTTTGGTGAGTTATGATTGACAATAAGAATATATGGGCTCTGGAGAACCCTTTTACCTTTATTCACCAATCACATATTATACCTACGAAAAGAGAGGCAGCAAGATGTTGTAACAATTGCAAATATTAATTTGTTGTAGTAGTATCTTGATAAATTTACAATAGGAAAAATTCATTAGTTTATTCTACTTCTTCCTTCCCCCTTTGTGTTCATTGCATGAAGAATTCCTTGTAAGGGATGTGGTATGACTTATTTGCGAAGCACATACTTATAATTATTTATTTGGTAAAAAAATAAAAACTACGACTCAATCTCAAACTAATTTGCATAACGCTTCATTTATGCCCGTTTCAGTATCACAACCTTGAACAATGCCCGTTCGCGATACAAGTTACTACAATAAGCCCTATTTCTTGAAGCTAGAACAGAGACCTTATAATTGTAAAAGGAACTGGAATTTTGATCTGCCAGATACTTTCAATAACCCAAAAGAGTTCTTTGAGCTTTAACAGTAACATGATCATATTGTCTCATAATAACAACACAATACGATAAGCTAAAATTAGTTAATAGTTGGACAACAGTAACAATTTCCCCTTGACATAAAGTAACTAAAATACAACATGTTTTAGCGATAAGCAGCAAAACTAACTTACGCTAGATGTGTAGCTGCAAATTATGCTACATTCTTGAACATCCAAAATAAATGAAGCTTTGCGTCTGCACTTCTGAGCAAGATTCTCAAAAATCTTATGAACATTAGCAGATGTAACTGGATTTGATGGATCAATGGATGTTTGTCAAGAAAATGTGAACGGTAAATAAATGGTCAAAACTTATATACAGAATAAATGAGACATACCAGTTAAAGAGTAATAATAAGGAAGAGGGGTAAAGAGGACTTCGTTTATCCAAGATTTGTTTATACACCAGTTAAAAAGTAATTAGTACAACAATGAGAAGTTTAGTTCTACTTTTGCATCTCTTTCATCCAATAAACTGTTTAAATAGTTGTATCACCATTCACCAGGGGCGATAACAAAACTCAGTTTGCAAGTAGAACAGCCTTCCTGATGTCCTATTCTGGAGTAGTTTGTGAACTTTAAGGTTTCAGATTCCATGGATTTACTCAAATTATAGATCAGAAATTCTAGTGTACAAACTTCTAAAGTTCATGGAAGTTAGACATTAAAAAAATTGATGAAGTAAGAAGTTTTCATTGACAAAAGGCAACAGGATGGTGCCATATTACAAAAGCAGATGATCTTGACAGTTTTTGGAGTAAAAACAAAAGCTAGTGAGTTTTTGGAGTAAAAACTTAGTTACATAACACAAAATTGATGGAGCTAACAAACTCCAGGAAGTTGTTAATGGCAACGCTATTAACAGGGGAGAGAAAGCTCCAACTGAACAAAAAACCTAAACATCTAGCTTTTAGGGTATGAAGAGGAGTTGAAATACCATAAAATTTTACATATGCAAACAGCTAAAATCTTTGCATAGTTAATCATATAACTATACAAGTATGAATTTCATCATTTCAAATAAAGCTTAGCTGACAATAATAGAGTGGTTTCTTTATCAATACAACATTTTTTATAGTCACTTAACAGATGAACAGAAAAAGACCAAACAATTTTGTCTCAGGTCAGTCCAAACAATAGCAAGCAATCTATTTCTTGCATTTATTTGTCTATCAGTATATTCGTCATCATTTCTTTCTAATTTAACGCCATCATAGAAATGTTGATGCTCCTAATACGCTTCCAAGTAATCCAATGAGACAACACAAAGTTCCTGATTATTTTCGAAAAAGAAAATGTATTTAAATATCTATTGAAGATGTTCATTTTATTAATGAGTGGAAGCTTCCTAAAAAAACACTATGGCAAAGTACATTTTCTTTGTAAATCCTTTTGTCATCTGAAAAAGAGCAACAATGCTCCAAAGAAAGAGTACAAGGAGAAAATGCTCAAGAACAACACCATTGGCTCTGCTAAAGAGTCCAGGTGCAAGTATTCAATAACATATCCAGAAAGCATAATGGCCTCGGCCAAAAGATTTAGATTCAAGGATCTAGTTAGGCTCCAGCTGAAATGATTGAGAAAGGAAGACATGGAAGTGCTTATAAGGTGAAAGCTGATGTAACACCAGTCAGTACAGATAAGGATCAGGTAATTTGAAAGGATGACTACAGGAAGAGGATACATCAAAATGAAGAATCTCAAATATTACTTTGTTGCTTCTATCTTTTCAGGCAATGATAGCTAACATTTATATGAGCACAAGCAAAAATGGCAGTTCGTTTAATCATCTCAAACACATATTTATTCTTCTGTGTGGAACTCATTTTAACACCTCGAAGAAACAACTTCAAAACACAATTCATTGAAGCAGAGTAATAGAAGAATCTTACAACTTTTTTCGTTTCTATAGTCAGCTAGAATAAAGACAATACTGATGTAGTGCAGATTTCAACACAACAAACCTTGAAGCCCAGGTATCCTACCACTAACAAGAGTAGCTTTGTCCAATTCAATGAAAACAACAAAGATACATTACCAAGTTTGAAGGCAAATAACATGTTCTAAATACTCTTTAAAAGAATCCAGTTCACTTTGGAGGTAAAACAAGAACATATAGAATAATAAAAAAGGGTAAATACAGAAAAATGACTCACTCAGCACAGAGTTGGTGTGACCCAAATTGGAGGACAAACACGACTGAGGGAAACACCATCATAATGTGGCTGGAAACTACTATCGGCTAAGTTGAACATCCCCATGTCCAAGCCGCCGCCTGTTTCAGAGTGGAGGTATGCACCTAAACAATTATCTGTAAAATAAATATGATTGGGCTTGATTCCCGGAAATTGAGAGGCTTGGACCGAAAAAGAAGCATTAGCACCCAGGAAAAAAGCTCTGTCCCCTAAATCCGTGATTGGCGTATATATGTGAGCATCTAAATCAATCTTGAAAACAAAAAAAAATTGTTCCGGACATGCACTGTATAACCTCATCATGATCATTTATAGCTGGGAAGAACGTCAAACGAATTCTTTCGCTATCATCTTCGACATACCTTAAACCAACACCACTTTGCATGACTGCAAATAATGATCCTAGTGATTCTAGGATGTAATACTTACAATCAATACATTGTGCAATCTGCATTATTATACGAATACTAGCAGGCTCAGGGCCCGTGAAATCACAAACTTGGATGCAACCACCATAAGTGATCGCATAAAAGCTGCCATTAAAATATATCACATCACTAAAATATCCAAAGCGGATGGACTTGGTAATCCTGGTCCATAACAAATCTCCTGGTCTCCAAAAACTCAGGCGCTCGGTTTTTCCCTCAATGACCATAAGAACATAGTCAGGTGTATGAGAAGGATTAGCTGAGAGAACAACTTTCTTGATAAAGATCCATGGAAAGCGAGTGCGATTGAATTCATAAAGTGTTGTGGTATTTTGATGGGGCAGCTGGATTTGTACACCCAAAAAAAGATGTAACAGACTAATTTCACCGTCTTCTTTTCCTACAGTGATGAGCCATCCCATGGATTCCATACATCCTTTCCCATGGGCTTCCGGAATTCTCTTTTTAAAAATCATGTCATTATAGAAACTATAGAATTTCCTACAGGTATTATCATCTTCGTCACCATCATCCTCCTCGGCTAGCATAAGCCATGGAGCCCTAGGCAAATTACTGATAAACCTGTGCTCCTTGGCCACCGAATGCCAGGATTTATAGACACTACTGAAATTCAGATAATCCTCAATCAAATCCATACGACTAAGAATTACACCTACAAGATCACTTTGAAGTTTCGACCAATCAGGCATCTTTGAAGCCTTAGCTAGCGAAATGATTTGATAATAATATTGAGAAAATGTCAGGAAAGTACCTAATTTATGTCCTAGCCAACGCTGACAAGATGAAGAAGCACGCTGCGGTTTCTTATTCAGTAACCATTTTGTACGGCGATAAGACAGACAGAACTCTCCAAGTACGGCGGTGAGACAACCGGAGCTCTCCAGGAATACTAGTGGTGTTTCTTTGGATAGAAGAATAATGCAACTGACAGAATTTCTCATTTTCTTGTTAAATTTTCTTTTATTTAGGGGAAAATGACGAATATACCCTTCGGTCGTTTGAGGGACTGATTTGGTGTGATGCACACACCAAGAGATCTTAATCTGGAATAATTAACCATTATATTAAAACTTAATTAGGTTTTATAACTATAGTTTATAGTAACTATGATTATGAAACCTAATTAAGCGAGACTGAGAGAGGAAAGAAAAAGGCGTGCAAAACGATACAGTATTTTCCTTATGAGTTGAGCTTTTTTATTAAAGCACTAGTAAAACTACTCACACTTTGCGCGGGAATTAAATATCACAAAATTTATGAAATATTACTTAAAGTATATCCGACATTATTACTAAAACACTAAATTATCTTACATGCAAGATTACGTAATAACAAACATTAATAATGTGAAAGAAAATGAAAATTATTACATTTTACCATTTATCCTTAATAACATAAGCATAAATTAATGATTGTTAAAAGACATAATAGGATTTGTAACATAAGCAATGGTCTTAGTGAGTCATTCAACATGAGCAAAGTACATAAATATTTAATTGTGAATGAGGAGGAGGAGGAGGAGGAGAAGGAGAAGGAAAAAAATACTAGTAGAATTTTTGGAGTTTTATAATGGGAGGAAATCCTTCTATTTATAGACAACAAAGGGTAGTGTAAAAAAATGGTTATTGTGCTTCATCAGAAAGGTTTCAACTATTTGGAAAAGTTGCAACCCTTTGGAATGCTCACAACCTTTCATAAAAGTTGCAACTTTTCATAAAAGTCACAACTATTCATCAAAGTCGCAACTTTTCATAAAGACACAACTTTTCATAAAAGTCGCAACTCTTCATTAAAGTCGCAACTTTTCATAAGAGTCACAACTTTTCATAAAGTCACAACTTTTCATCAAAGTCACAACTCTTCATTAAAGTCATAACTTTTCACGAAATGAGAAGGCTAATTTTTGTAATAAATTAAAAGGAAATCCTAATTTCTAGTGGCGCCACGTAGGCGGGCTTAAGGTTTTCTTTTATATATATACTAGGTAATTTTTCCGTGCTTCGCGGGGTCATAATTAATAATTGCATTGACGTGTTGTCACTGTGGCGCCATCACCTCCCAACTGTGAAACTGGTATAATATATATAAGGTGGTATTTAATTCACTTGAAAGTTTTCTAAGGGGGTATTTAAACGTCCATAAAGTTATATTGCTAAAGTGAGTTTTGCGAACAAGTTCGAGGGAGATTTATGTATTTTGTCTAGTGAAAATAACAAATTTTATGTCGGTGAGAATAATAAATTTTAAAAAGTAAGGATGTGATCATAAATTTTATTTACATGTAATATAAATGGTTAGTAATATATATGTGGAGTTGTTTTAACAAAATATAAACTTGTGGATCAACTTTTATAATAAAATAATTCAAATCATGATATGGTATTCTCATATAATTTTATATCATGATTTTTGAAAAATATGATATCACATCTCATGATATGAAATCAATATAAAATGATATATTCAAATGCTGATTTTCATCTGACAATATCATATCGTGATATAATATCACATGACCAGACTCCTATAGGGACGAAATAAACAATAACATCTTATGGATTCTAAAGCTATTCATGATAGCTTCGGCAATACCATTAATGCAAAGAGGTCAAATTTGTTTGTAGGCCAATAAACAATTGGCCATGCATGTGTTACACATCCATACAAGTAGCCGAAAGGACACTTTCAAAATTCAATATTTTCAAACTATTTAAGTTATCTCTTCAAATATATAGCAAAATCTAATATTTCTTCCCAAAAGTTCAATACACACTTTATAAGTGGCCAAAGAAACATTATTATATTAAAATTGGAAGTGAGCTAGTGTCTAAATCAACATGCTCCTTTCGACTCAATTATTTGATGATATTTGAATAAACATAAAATCTATTTTTTAAAAAAATAAAATTGTGATTTGAACTTAAAAATAAAATTAGAAGTGAGCTAGTGCCTAAATCAACATTCTCCCTTACGATTCAGTTATTTGATGATATTTGAATAGATATAAAATCTATTTAAAACATTGAATAAAAAAGTGATTTAAAATTAAAACTAAATTATTTTGAATAAGAACTATTTTTTAAAGACAAACTAAAATATGCCAAATAAATTAACAGGAAACAAACACTTCATTATTTTAATTTAGTTGTCCTACATTTTTTTTTTCATTTCTTTTAGTCCTAGAGTTTTACATGACACGATTAAGAGTTAATATCGCAAAATTAAATGAATAAAATGATCAAATAAGCACTCAAGTTATTATCGAATTTTCAACTATACATTTATATGGAGTCCTATTATCCCCTTGAATTATTTAAAATCGAAATTATTATCTCCCTTAAAATTCACAATTGTATTTATGTTGATCAGTGAAATTCACACGTTTGACACATATTTTTTTACTTTTTTCTCCTTTTTGACTATTTATTTTATTATGTTTTTTTCCTTTTATTTCTTTCTCTTCCTCTTCTTGTTCTTCATCTTATCCTTCAATTTCATCTTACATAGAGCCACAAGTAGAAAGCTTGAGAAGCAAAAAAAAATTATGGTGATAATTAGAGGAATGACAACCCTTCGTGTTATTTTCCAAGGGCAGGGGTTTAATAACAGGAATGACCTAAAAAAATATCGGCCAAGTTTTTTTTTCGATGAGGATATTTTGAGAATTTTAATTTTTAAGAGATTCCCAACATTATTTAAGTTGTTTGAATGAATTTTGTTAACTGAAAAAATTTATTACAATAGCTTCAAAATGATATTTCAATAGTGTTTTAATTGCTAATAGTTAATTTTAAAAATGGGTGCAAAGTAATTTACTTAATAATTTTTTTATTGTGTGGAGAGTAGAAAAGAGATTTCTATCTAAGAATTATGGTATGTTAATAAATATTGTAATGATGGTGTTTTCGATGGTGATGTGAAATTGATAACTATCATGAATGATGCTCTACTAAGTTATAAGAACTAAGAAGAAGAAAAGAGACGAAACAAAAACAAATAAAGAAAAAAAATAAAATGAAAAGAATATTAAAAATAAAGTTTTAACATTTATTTTTGATCTTCACTCTCATTGAGAGAGTGAAATACATTCACTTTGCCACATAAACGTTTAGAGAGGTAATAATTTCAATTTTAAATAGTTTAAGAGGGTAATAAGATTTCCGTGATGTAAAAGTGTGTATTTGAAAACCGGATAATAGGTTGGGGACTCATTTGACCATTAAATCAAATTAAATAACATTTTGATATATGAAACATAATTTTAGTTTAAGATCACGAATATAAAAGTTTTGCTCCTTGAGGTCGATATTAAGTGCATTATTGACACACCCCTTAAGAAAAATATTTATGAAAATAAATTGAATGTTACTTTTCACTACACCCTTTTGATTCCAAACTACTTTTTTTTTAAAAAAAAAAAAATACACCATCCATTTAAAAAATAAATGACCTAGCTTGATTTGGATTAGTTCAAGAAAATAAAAAGATTTTTTAATTTTGCAGTCCTAAACTAAATTTACGTCAAATATATCAAAATGCTCTTGCAGCTTGTGTCCTTCCTCCAAAAAAAAAAGAGTCATTCTTTTCGAATAAGAAAATAGATAATTCTTTTTGAAATGGATAAAGTAAAAATTAATTTAAAACTTCTTTAAATAAAAATATATATATGAAAATAGTCGCAACTCTTCGGATGACTTTTTAATAACTCACTTATTTTCAATTATAAAAAAAATCTCAATAATTCAGTTAGTTGATATGAAGTAGAGAAAATATTAAGTTTCTTAAACTTGGAATAAGCCAAAATCATACAGACAAATTGAAACAGAGTATTTAGTATTATGAATTGTTTGGTGTGAGGTATAAAATATAATAATCTTAAAATAAAGTGTATAATTATTTTATCTCATGTTTGGTTGGACTTTGGAAGTATTAGATGGTCTTTGCATTATTTATTCCGTCCTAATATATATTTCTATTATATAGAAGAGTGAAGTGGGAGGATGACCAAGGGCAAAAATATAATTTCATGCTAACAAAAATATATTAAGAAAAATAATAATTTTAGAAATAACTATGACAACTAAAAGTGGACGGAGAAAATAATATTCTTCATGCCAAACACCCCTAATAGTGAAATAACTTTTCCAAAACAATATATTCCGAAATAACTTATACTCTCTTCGTTTAAAAAGAATGACTCATTTGCTTTTTCAGCAAAACTTTAACTTTAATTTTAATTTTACACCTGACATATTTAAGACCATAAAATCAAAAGATATTTTAATATATTTAACATAACTTTAATTTAAAATCACCAAATTAAAAAAATCATCTTTCTTTTTTTAAACTTCGTTCCAAATCAAAACACGGTACACTTTTACGAAACAAAAAGAGTACAATACTTGCAATATCATTTTGTTAAAAAGAAGTCCGGAGCCGCCGCACTCCTAAATTGGGACCCACCAAGGAGAATCTTAAACAATGTCTTAAACCCTAATTATATTTAAAGGTGGAATCTTTGAAAAATGATTAGAGAATTAACGGCTCTGATTAATTTAAATTCATTATAAAAATAAAACAAATCTTTTCATTTCATTGTAACCAGTAACCGCAATCACTTTTTCTTCATTTCAGAAGAAGCGAGAAAAAAAAATTGCGGACAATGTGTGGAATACTTGCAATTTTCGGTTGCACTGATAATTCTCATGCCAAGCGTTCAAGAGTAATCGAACTATCAAGAAGGTTTATCCTTTTCTGTTATTCGATTTTTGTTATTTGATTCCCACATTGTATGTAAGTGTTTTTAGATTTGCTATTCGTTGATTTGTTCTTAGATTTGATTTTGTTATGTTTGTAACTAATTACACACAAATGTATGGTAATGAATCTGATTATCTTTGAAAATGGAAGTTGCACACTAATGCCTGGAAAAACAGCTAAC